AACCCCAACCAGGATTCTGGGTCACATAGGTCCCGTGAGGCTCCGTAGGATGGGGACCTCGATCCTACTTCTAACCTTTCCTGTCGTTTTGCTAATGTTCATCCAAATGAGCAGCTGAAGGATAGCAATCAAAAGCGGCGCACTATAGTGCATGGTTAATGGTTGTGCAAACTGAAGCTGGTGGTTAGACACTGAATGATATGGTACATTGTTGTAAAAAATGGTGTTCGGGTATCTTCTGAATCGCTTTGCAACTTCAGCCCAATGAAATGTTCCATTTTCTGTATTTCTTCTACTGCCTCATCCAAATGGGTAGCCAAAGGACTGCAATCAAAATCGGCGCACGAAGATGCATGAATAATAGTTGTAAAAAGTGAACTGAAAACTGAATTTGCTAGTATGTTTGGTAGACGAGCTTGATCACGTCATGGGAATCAAGCATACTATTCAGTTGGCTGTCATTTAGCCACGCTGTATCGGCTGCTTGACCCATAAATGGTTTTCAGGTTGCGTGTACACTCTGAGTCCGTCCTCGAACGACAATCACCGCTAATTTTCGTTCCTGTTACTGGCATGTACACACGCGGGTGTAAACTCCATTAGCTTCCAACCAAGGCTTGCTCTGCACCCTTTGCATCACGATGAATAATCCCTTGGTAATGTATTTCCCTTATTTTACTCCACCCTTGCGGACGGGGTGGCTAATTTCGGACGGTAATTTACGTATTTTGTCTGCCATACATTTGCAAAGGTTGTTGAGATAATAAACCTGTAATTTAAAGTGACGCTTGTTTTGAGATTCGACAGTGTTTGTCACGCGGTTGTTAACTTTTGGTATCAATGACATCCCTATATTGTACCATTGAAATTTCTCCTGTTTTATTTCCGCCTATGCCACTTCTTTTTGCCACTAGGTTGTGCTGTTACGTGGCTGCGCCACGCCTTCCTGCGGACTGTACCTGGTCTGATACTCTCACCGAACTGTATCTCTGGAGATGCTGAGCTTGTTGTGGCTGCGCATTTGGGCCAACTTACCGTTATTGACCAAGAATCGCAAGCTTATTGCAGACCCACGTCTCTTTCTGGCTCAAATATCAGCGGCAATTGGGGTCCTCATCTGATAGTAACATCGCGCCTCAGTCTACCATCTTGGCGAACCCGGTTGCTCACCTGGTGTCCTGGTCTGAAAGTTGTCTGTTTGTGTCTGGACGTTGCGGGTGAGCCATCTGGCAAGAGTCGACGCCTACGAGCCTGCGTTGCCCGCGGTGCTGTCAATATCTGTTTGACAACCTACAGTGCACTGCGTGCCCGTCCAAGCCGTTACAGTCAAATACAGTGGAGTGTTATAGTTTTCGATCAAGTAAGTTCGCCTGTGCAATTATCTTGCAGTGAGTCAGTCTTATGATATACAAGTCTACCAATCAAAACAATGAACTACGTAATCGTTATGCTGTACGTTGTATTTACTCCGTAGAAGTGGATCTGCTACCCAAACTCTTATTGTTCGTAACGTATTTTATACGCTCATTGATGACACCTTTTGGCAGGATGTTACAGTCACTTAGTTTACGTATTACAAGATAGAACCATTGTAACAAATTGACGACTGTGCATTAAAGTCTTTGATTTTACGCTGCAGTCTCCAATAGGCCGCTGTCCTCTTCGTAACTATTGGTAACACAAGTAGTAGCTCAGCTATGAATCTTTTAAATTACAAGACAAGCTGAATTCACGGTAATTGAATAAATCCCGTTATTCTAAAAGCTGCTGTACTGGGGAGAACTAAACGGTTATTCAAAGCACAAGTTATTGATTCTGCGCTTAAATATACATAGGAAGGCGGAATAAGAGTGTCCACTATTCGGTGGTTCTTTTTGAAGAAAATATTTCAGTGTTAATTTGTAATGTTTTGAGGATCACTTGACGCTTGTGATTGGATTTTACGGGCAAATAACGGTGCACTGCAAGCTCAGAAGGGCAAAATCCATGGCAATAACATTTTTTGCAAATGTTCAGTGGTAATGTCAGTAGTAATTACAGGATGAGAAGGCGATCGCGATTTAAAAAAAAATTAACCGGCCATTCACTTAAAGGAAAGAACCAACGCAATCATCTTCAACCATTATCGTCAGTGTCATATATCTTTTACTGTTTTTAAAATTCATAGCTATCTTACCTGTTTCCTTTCCCGCTCAGGTGCATAACCTAGTCCATCATCTGGGTGGTGCAGGCAGTAACAGAGAAATTAACGGATACCGATCACAAACTACTATGAAGCCAGGATGCACAGGAGGCCCTCAACCTGGTGGCGACCTTTCTTCTCTTTCAACGGATGTGACCGGATCTGGAGAAGTTAAATCTAGTTGCAGTAGACACAATGCTGCTAACTCTCTGGATTTGTTTACTTCAGTGCTCAGTTGCACTGGACATCGGCTGTTAATCAGCTCAGTACCGGATTTGTGCCATTCACTTTGTGGTTATCGGCTATACTTATTGAGTCGTTTGCTGTTGTTGAAAGATCCTGTGGGTTCGCCCACATACGAATCGTGGGTTTCTGAGCTGTTTAAAGCTTCCGCAGCATCACAGAAAAGACGTACGTCACAATCCAGTGGATCTGAACGCCCCACTAAGCGCCAGTTGATTAAGGTGTGTAATTTACTGTAAATCTCAAACCACTTTCATTTTCTAAAAATGCTGTTATCCTGATAAGCTTCGCCCGAACGCGAACTATCAAATGCTTTTCACTTTTATATGGCTGAATGCACGCCCGTGTTGGTAAACCAAAGTCCACACATGCGGTTGTTCCTGTAGCGCTTTGTTTACTGGAACAGAGCAATCCAACCACAAGTTTATATCATGAAACTTTATGCAAGATCGAAGATCATCCAATATCTTTACTCAATTGACATAATGATTTATATGCACACAAAACCAGTTTGCGGTTGAAACTAATTAAATTTAGCGAACAGCCCCTACATGAATCCCCTACTTTCCTTCTGGGGAATTCTGACACAGGAGGGCTTTTGATGTTCATGAATGTATATCTTCAAACCTAGCTTTGTTGGTTTCGATCTAAATCGAAGGCAAAATCTGAAAGGTTGTACATCATTCGCTAAAGCATCAATACAATACAGTACAATGTAAACTTGTTGATTTAACGGTAGTTCCTATCATTCATTTGTTTATCCTATTCTTTCCATCATAGTTCATGGAACCTTTCATTGTTCGCTTGGACGAAGATGACGAATGGGAGACTTTAGTATGTGAGGAAATCGTACCTTGTCCAATGACTACCACTCAGTGCGAACTTCACGATGCTGTTCTCGCGACGAAAACGTAAGGGTTTATGCGTATCCACACTTTTCTCTGCAGTATGATGATGCTATCATGAGAAGCGTAAGGTCAGGGATAGGGGGTTTCTTTAGTTTAGTTTTTGAAAATTGATCTAAATTTTTACCAGGATCTCTAATTTTGGTTTTATTTCGACTCCAACTGAAAGTCTTATCGCTGAAAAGTCACCTTTTGGGTGCATAAAGCTGAGTTTGGCTTGGCGGATTGAGTTGTTACACAAATAGTAAGGCGGTTATTAGGTGACCACAATGACCCTCGTTGTCATACAAGCTTATCCAATGAGAATAAATCACTTTATAGTTGTCCGCTAATGTTGGATCGTGCGTTTCCAAATTTATGCACGAGCAGTTTGTTTATTTCCACTCCGTGACTGATCGATGTCGAGTCTCTGTTCAGTTCATTTCAGTTTGTGCAACCGCATTTTCGTCCACCGGTTTTGGTTACTGTCCTCTGACTGCCCATTTGGATGAGCAGTAGAAGAAAGACATGAAACTTGAGAGTGCAGTGGAAGAGAAAATTGAGAACTCCAGTAAGCTACGGCTGCGAAGCAATTAAACAGATGCCCGAACGCCACTGTTTACGACACTCAGCAATATGACTAAGTGTCTCACCATCGGTTACGATCATCCTGAGGTCCCCATCCTACGGAGCCTCACGGGACCTATGTGACCCAGAATCCTGGTTGGGGTTCTCATATCTTGCCAGGTCTTAGCTTGACCACTCACTACCTGCCTCGGCACATATCGCTCGCCGTGTCAACCTGTTTAGTGACATGCGCAATATGTGTCTCAAACAGCGTATTCTATGGAGATCGACCACTTGCTCCAGTGGACGACCACAGTTACCCAAAACTCCATTCTTACCTCAGCATTGCTCGTCCGGTTGACCCACCATGTTCGTGTTATGCTGTGTAGACAGTGGTGTTCAAACACCAACACACCATCTGTATCCTGTTTTCTTAATGGCCAAGTTTCTGCGATGTGTAGCAGAACTGGCTGAACTGCCGCGCCATACACTCGACCCTTCACAGACGATCGGATATCGCGGTAGCGCCACAGATGTCTCAAGTTGGCAAATTCCGACGGAGCCTCCTGCATGCGAGCTGACACTTTGTCTGTGATGTGTCCACCGGGTGAGATATAGCTGCCCAAGTAACAAAACTCATCCACTTGCTCTATTACTTCCCCGGTTAAAGCGAGGCTGGGTGCCGTACCAATCCAGTTTTGTAGCAACATTTTACACTTTGGAGGTGCAAAACGCATACCGAACATGGCTACGTTGGCGCTCAAGCTATCCAGAAAAGCGTGCAACTTACCTGGATCTCCACTTAGCAGCACAATGTCGTCCAGGAACGCTTGACACTTACCTGGGAGTTTACTCAGCAGCATAATCCAAACCAGACAGTTAATCGAAGCCACTGTTCTCACATTGGCAGAGCTGATGCCAGAATCAGATGCATCAAGCTGAATGCGAATGGACAAATATTTCCAATATTATTCGTAATAAATAAGATATCCTGACAGTAGTGGGATCCCAAAGAGTGATTATGTGATCTGGTATCGGTTTCATCTAGTGCAACAAGAAAACATTCCTGTTTTAATAACTCAGCACAAGGCAATGCATTACACAATTGGACGGCATCCAATCAACTTCAGTACTGCCAACGGGTAGTTGCTACATACAAAAGACTGTCACAACATTTGTAGCAGAACGATAGTCGGCAGCAACTGTGGACACACACGATAGGATTTGACGCACCAGGGAGACGGTAGTGATTTTATGCTACATTATGGAAGGTGAAGAAAATCGGTAGAACATTAAGAGTATGAAAATCACAAATGGTGATCCGGTGGTAACGTCACCAGATTATTACCCCAGGATGTGTTCGGATCCCACCACCACCACCGCCTGACACCGCCAATTGTATGTAGAATGGAAGGGCTTTGATGGGCCGCTTGATCTTCCTGAAAATTGTATCTTTATATATTCAATAAGCGGAAGTAAAATGGAAAGGAACAGAGGATGAATCTCTCCAAAAGTGCTCTTTCAAGTCGCTAGTCAACTAGAAACAGATGATGATAATAGTAAGGTTTGACTGAACCTCAACGATAGATCAAGTTATGCGTCTGCACAGTACCCAGAATGTGAAATCCAGCAGATGAAACGAAAAGCATCCAAAATTGTGGTTTATGATGTTTGACCTCTTCATAGCAGATACCTCGAAAGCTAATTGTAACCTCAGAACTGCTGTTGAGATGGCCAACTTATTCTGCTGCTTTTCTCAGCTGTACCCCATTTTTCAGAGTAAAATAAACCGAACTGTGACAATCTGGTTTTGGCACGATATTTCTCACGAAAATGAGTAACGTAACTGCAGCACGGTGCCGCATGTTAGCGGAAAAAAGTAGTACAATTTGCTTACTTTAACCCATTCAAAACAACCGATTAAAACTAAATTATGATTGCAGGTAACAGCTAGCTTGTATTGTGTTCTATCGAACATTCAACGGCCTCAAATGTAACCTCAGTAGGTTTCGGAGCAGACGGAGGAACAAAATAAATGTATTGGTGATACCTTTTTTAATATTGTTAATAATAATAGTTGTTAAGCGCATCAACGATAAGAATACTAAGCTCACCAAGATTATGAGATGGCAAAGCCCGAACCCTGAAAGCAGGACTCCAACTGGTAGTTGCCAACGCCGACATGCATTTATCAGACCACAAAGAAAACGAGCGAAGGAGAGGGCTGAGACTCAAAGCGGTGTCATGCAAATCAACTGGGTGAGACAAAGGGTCTGAACAGCGACCGTAGTCCCATGGGGGGGTTGTAATTCGGTGTGCGTCATCAGAGCGTTTCGGTTCCGACATATGGATCTCTGAATGCAATTGAGAAACCGATTTAACTCCTGAATGGATAAGCTTTACTTCGGAAGACTCCGAGATGTTCGATACAGCACTACTACTTATCGACGTATCCACATCCATTGGTTCATCGACTGGAGAGTTTTGATCCGACGACAAGCCCTCAATGTCAGACGCACGATGCTCTAAGTAACCAGGAGAAAGCAGCTTTTCTATAGGCATATCGGCTTCCGACAACAGAGCATTCACTTCAGCTTGGGTAGACTATCGTGAGGAAAGAAAAAACGATGAACATAAAATATGAGAGTAATCTGAACAAGTCCAAAATGCACAATCAATGATAAACACTGAATATTAACTCAAATTATGTTCATCGAGGAGCATAGTCATATGGCATGAAAGAGCACTATGGAAAAAAATCCACGAACAATCTATTGAACAACGCCTCACTGCCCTGGTGCCCTTGTTTTTAGGTTATACGGTAATTAACCATGAACATTGATGCGGCGGTTTTGGTTATATTTTGGATGCACTGTCGTGTATCACACTGTTTATTCTATGACGATGTATTCCTACCACTTCTCTTTTATTGGATGGTGATGAATGAATGTGTGTCTGAAATAGTGGGTTGACAACAAACAATGGGGTTACCACAGCGAGCGATGTTCGCCGAAGCAGACACCGAGTGGAAAAGCTTAGGGGGGTCAAGCTAAAACTTGGCACGATGGTATGAAAACCCTAATCAGCAGACTAGGTCCCATAGGTCCGGTCAGGCTCCCTGGCTGGGGACCTCGGGTTGACCGTCCGTAAACGAGGCGGCGTTGCAATTTTTGTTAGCGACAACTGGAGTAAATTAGCAGCCGTCATCTATGAATACTCAAGGGATAAAATCAGTTTCTGTTTCCTGGTCAGAACCTTTCTGTTCTCCGTGTACATCTTACGGACTACTTTATTTTTATTTTTAGCCAGTGTTACCCACTCTAAACGTTCATCCATAACGACAGGTATTCATCACTGCTATTAAAACACCTATGCATGCGGAAAGAACAGGCCCATAAACATGGACAAAGAACCTATGTCAAGCGGCTTACAATTTCGATCAAGGCTGAAATAANATAAAACGGCTGGATAAATGGAACATCGACACTATCCTGGTAAACTCTAGTTGTCGTTGCGTGTAGAGAGCTGTCAACCGCCTGTGTGGCAGTACCTATAAACACAAAAGAGAAACTGTGGACATTTAAAGACTAAATTCCGAGTTTAGTCCAGATTCACAGAGCAGGACCTTGCTAGACTTAGTCAGCGCTACACCAGCTTTGCTGTCGTCTGGTTCAATAGCACGCCGATCCTATCGGGGCCTGATGTGGGTCACCACTATAAGTCTGGGGGCATAGGTTATCGATTTCCATCACTGAACAGCAGGTCTCCGTGACTATGGGGTTTACCCCGTCTACTGTTCCTCACACGAAAGTTTGTAATAAAAAATAATAATAATAAAAACTAACGACTGGGTGGTAGGCGGCTCTGCCGTCGCCCGGCACACGCCTGATCTATTGAAGCTCTATGTGGTCCGCCAAGTTTCAGGATCATGGCTGCCGGTTTTTCCTCACAACATAATCATGAATATACAAAATCACGAACGCTCACGTACTCTCGCTCGTTCTACGCAATCAGACTGTAAACAAGTACTCATCACCCTCACCAACATTCGCGGACTGAACCGCAATACGGATACTGTACATCACTTTCTCCATTCTTCTCCGCTCACCCTTTTCTTGACCGAAACACAAATCTCCCCCTCGTCAGATACCACCCACCTTCAATTCCCTAACTACATTCTCCATTCCTCCTTTCTACCCAAAGCTGATGTCTGCGCTTTTAGTCACCAATCAGTCGCCACCTCCAGGATCTTGACTTTTCCAATCGTGAATTTCAGCTGCTGTGGCTAAAACTCCGACTTCCTTCCTTTAATCATTACTTTTGTGTTCTTTATCGTTCCACCTATAGCGGCGATTCCACCATCTTTGATTTTCTATTTTCCAACATTGAACATTCGTTTGCAACCGACCCCAACTGCCATATTACCATCTTGGGAGATTTTAACGTTCACAATCAGGACTGGTT